CAAACCCTGAAATACGTAAAGGTTTTGTTCTTCAAGCGGAAGGTGCTGGCCGGCGAGAGTAGATCCTCAATGAGAACCTGCGCCCGGCCGATATAATTAGTGACGGAAGCATCACCTTGTTGCAACGTCTGAAGTTACCCGAGAAGGTTCAACGAGCGAGACCGAGACAAAAAAGCAAGTGCGGAGGTAACAACAGCCCACACTGCACGGCTGGTGTGATGTCCGATAGCTAAGGACATAACTTCATCAGACAACGATTACATGAGTATAGAGAGAAGTGCTTGATCCTGACGAACCCATGGATGATAAGCAGCATTCGGCAGAGGTAGCGCTCCCTCTTCGCCGGACAAGATCGTGGCCGGTGGGCAAGGATTGGTTCCGTCGATGAAACCCATTAGATCATGTCTGTTGAGAAAAGGAACAACTTGAGCCCTCCAAAATAAGAAGTTCTGATGAGTCAACATGACGCCGATGAAGTGATGAGCCGTGGAGAGGGTGATTACGGTTGAGAAGGGGCGTCAGAAACGGTCCGTTCAGAGGAATTGACAGATCCGTCGACCATTGGATAGAAACCCTAGCTAGCTGATACCAGATGAGAACTGTAATGAATTGTATTAACAATAATGAAGAGAGTTAGGGAGACTAAGATTGGGAGATTTAGGGAGACTAGGATTGTGAATCATAAGTAGACTCAATAACATATATAGAGTCCTAATAGGGGGAACCTGATATAATCACGGGCTATTTCTATTGAAAGCCATTCTAGCTCTGTCATTCTCCATGAGATCACGAAGATCCTCCGGTGGCTCAAGGAATTCAATCCAATCACACTTCCTCCTAGTTGCAAGTTTAGCAATCTGATCAGCAACATCGTTACGCTCGCGATTCGTGTAGCAAAAGACTATTTCCCACTTTTTAGATCTCCCTTCTTTACAAATGTCCACAATTGTATCTCAAGGACCCAGAGGCCTGGGACATATCGTTATCCCGTCAATCGCTTGTTTGGAGTCACTAATAACTTGAAGTTTCTTAATTCCTGTGTTCCAAGCCCATTTCAAACCAGTATAAATCGCCCAGAGTTTGCCTTCCGTCGCGTTGTTGGCCTTGGTCGTACAACTGAAACCTTGGATCCAATCTCCCTTGATGCTCCGTAAGACGCCTCCGCAGCCTGTAGGCAGATGGGGGAAGGTGAATGACGCGTTGACATGCATCGTAGTCCAACCCACCTGAGGTTGAGCTGGTTTGTCGCTATTCTTATGTTTCTTGCCAGCCAAATGTTTTTTGGTGAATGCTCTTCCCGTCTCTTTGAATGTCTCATGCAACCAGCAGATTTTGGTCTTGAGATCCCAATCTTTGGTGTTGAACGCCTTCTTCCATCTCTACTTCCATATTCACCACGCCACAATTGCAGAGAACTCTGAGGGAGTAAGGTTTAGGAGTACATGTAGTGGAACTCAATATGATTATACTTGTATGTGAGTGTGAATTGAAAATCCCAATTTAACCTAAAAAGGGATGATAGGTGAATTAGACCATAAAAATTTGTGTCGATTTATCATCAGTGCCATTAATTATATTTGGTTCAAGTGTCATTCCGCACCATGAACCATAAGTGATTCTTCATGCTGCACCCTAACCTTTCATATCTAATGTTTCGATGCACAAACCATAATTTTTTTTTCACCTAATTTTGCCCTAATGACATGGAGCCGATAAACTACTGATGTAGACTTATTTTTCTTTTAAGTGAGTCTTTGCTTGGTCAAATAAACTGATGATCTAGCTGCCTTCTTTCAATTTTTGCGCCGCTTATAAAAAGAAAAGAATTTTTGGTGAAAATATAAAAAGTTGAGAGAGAAAGTACCTGTGTGTTGTCTGTACTCTGTATGAGTGATGAAGTAAGTTTCGATCGTCTAAACTCGCCAATAAAAGCTTCATTGTTGCAGCAGTGTTCCGACGCTTGAGCTTCACGAAAACTTGCCTTCACCCTGACCACAAATCACTATGTAGCATCTGCATTTTGTGTATTGAATCCAATTTTCACTTTTTTTTTCCTGATCTCTTTCTCATTTCTTCTTGGTTTCTACTTTTCAAAGAGATAGGAGGGTTTCACTTTTCCTACTTGCCTTCTTTGCCCTCTTCACCCTTTGCCTTCAGTTTCAAGTTTTTGCTGCTGCCCCAGCTGGTAATCCCTCTCTCTCTCTCTCTCTCTCTCTCTCTCTCAAACTATATATGTGTGTGCTATGCGTGAGTGTAAGTGTTTTTTTCTTGCTTTGCTTATCAGCCATCATGAGAATTTATTTGTTTGTTTGATGGGTATGTTTGTTTGATGTGTACAAAACTTTGAACACACTTATTAGCATGTAATATTATGTGCATTTCAGGGCCTCTGATAAAGCACTTGTGTTCTCTGCTCAAATGGTCGCTCACTATTTACCACTGCCCCCATCGGCACCTTCACTAATCTCCGCAAAGCAGACGTATCGACCATCGAAGAAGATATCGAACATCAGAGGCTTACTGCTGACCCTCATCGAAAGCAGGAGGGGGAGCTTGCTCGTTGTTGTAGTGAGCGACCAAGGTATTAAAGCAATACACCGCCACATTTTTTCTGGGTCAATTTTATTCGATCAAAGTTCCCCCAAATATTTTTGATCCATTGGAAGATCAATTACAGCAAATAAACAATAAGGGGTTTTGGGTTTCGTCTCCGGTGGCTAGCCTCGCCATTGATGGCTTTCTTCCTCGAACTCTAAGGATCGGGTGGTAAGCTCTGGCTTGCTTCTTGTTGACAGGCTGCTGGAGAGTTGCCATCTCCGTCTTTTCCTTCATCTGTAGCTAAGAAAATGGTTGGCCGAGGCCACGTCAACCCAATGATGAATCTCTGCGCCAAATACGAAGTAGGCGGGGCAGGTGGAGTCGAGCGGCGGCGGACGGCGGTAGCGGAAGATCATGGGTCGTCGTCGTTGGAGCTGACGGCAAAGACCGCGCGAAAACAAGTCAAAAATGTTGAGAAAGTCAAAAATGGTTGCCCTATCATATTTAATACCTATTTAACAAGTGAATAAAAAAATACCTCCACATAGCATAGTATAACTTGTAACTTAATGACAACCTGTAAAAAAGTCTAGGTGCAAAAAGTTTATGATTTATGCATCAAAATAACAGATATAAAATGTCAAGTGCAACATGAAGAATCACTTTTAATTCATAGTGCGGAATGACACTTGAAGCATTATATTTAATGTAATTCTAGGTGATCATATAAACTTAACTATAATAACAATCATACAACAATAATTATGGCTATCACATATGGAAATTCAACTAGTACATACTACATAGTCAATTCATTTAAGATAAAAATATTTAATGTCATTTCACAATAAATGATGGTATTTATTTATTTATTTTTAACTAGGTGGCTTTCATAATTAATCCAATTACATTTTAGTCACAGGTGAAAGAAATACAAAAAAAATATAATTGAATCTGCTTGCAATGTAAAGAATAAGGAAAGAAATACATCAATTTTAAAGTGGTTCAGTCAAGTTTACTCCACTACCTAAGAAACTTTCCTAATAATTTACAACTCCACTATCTGAGTGGCTTTAAAACCTTGATGGGCCTGCAATTCGTCGCACTAACCACCCATGGTGATAGTACTTCTACGAACACCAACCATTTGTAGCTTAGGGTGAGACAAGATACCAACCCATTGTCCCATGAGTATTTTTCGCACCATATTTCGGATGACACTTTTACGATTTTCATGCATTCGTAACATATGGTACAACAAATTCACCATTTTGTTGCTAATGTTGCCGCTAGTCCCGCTATAAACTATAACTACACTTGGTGCTGGGACAAACCAATCTTACATATCTAAGTGTTCACACCATCAAGGATATCAAATTATACAATTTACGAATTATCTCTCAACTAGACTAATATTGTATGCATTTGAAGCTTCAAGATTGAGAATATGAATATTGCAATTGGAAACCAAAACAATGTCGACCAAAATATACAGGCTTGAAAACAAATAGAAAGAAGAAACTTGAAAATGTCCGTGGAGTGTTTATAAAACACTTCTTTAAAAGCGATTTTCCGGTGACAGTGTAATTAGAATTTCCAGCACGCTTTCGACGGGCAACACAGACCTGCTACACTTAACTTACACCAGCTATTGCGTAGGTGAACATGACTTTGCTCATACCAAGACAAAAGGAATAAGAGAGAAAGGCTATGTAGAAATTGTGCTCCTTTTTCACTATGTTGGACGTTGCTTATATAGTGTATAAAAATAAAAGCAAGCACCATTTTCATCCATGAATTAGCGCATGAGTAGGGATGTGATGCTGAGAGTGTTACACGTGCCCATGACCTCCCTCATACGTTGGCAAGGTGAACAAACTGATCCAAAATAGTAGGCACGTGAAAGAATGACTATTTTGAATGTATTTCCAACAATCCCCCACATATTTAAAATAGAAGGCTAGAAAGGACAACGTCTGAGCAATAAAAACGAACTGATCTTAATGTCAGTGTTTAAACTTGAACTGTCACGTAGTGACATTGAGTAATTTTCTTTCCGAGAGTGATATGAATCTTGAACTCAACGGTTAGACAAATTTTGAACTCTACGCAAACATCAACTCTAAGTTGCAGGTTCTATAGAAGTCAAACTCTTGAATTTTTATAAATCCCTTAGTGATTTAGGCCTGTTACGTCTATCTCATCATAGGTTTTCAACTCTCAACATAAACCTGTGACGTCTATCTCAATATAGACTTTTAATTTTGTCAAGTCTATCTCAAATATAGACCTTTAACTCTGTCAAGTCTATCCCAATATAGACCACCCTTAAAAGGCTATAGCATATTGAAAATCATTTACTTTCAAACAAATCTGGTGTGTAAGTCTTTTCATAATTTCGTTTGACCACAAGAGTGGTATCCATCATGAATTCCTTACCTCACTGGGTTTAAACACATCTCCATTGTGATTACTTCGTTAGTAACCAATTGTCATACAGACTCATGTCTGACTTTTATGTGTCTTCTCTTACCAATTAGACACCACTCTTAGAAACACAAACGGTAGTTTGTGAATCACAACGTATAGACACGGAAGGTGTTGGACACCCCCATATATAATGGCACATCTGCCAACAGATTTCTCAACCATTCCGCTTCTTGGCTTGCTAGATCAAGGTTTACATACACTGTGATGAGTATTTCATTTACTTGCAAATAGTTCACTTGAGATATTCATGCTACCATAGAAGCGAATTTGCTGCTATCGGTGAAAGCTCACAACAGCGGCATTGCCCCTGAAGGTTAACACAGCAATCCCCGTCTCCATGCACCCAGAGCAGGGATTGGAACATACACGACATTCTCAGAGTGAAAAGCAGACAAAAGAGTTAATAAGACAATGTTTGTCTGTGTGTTCTAACTCAATAATACCCCTCCTTAAATAGTAAAATGCCAAATAATTAAGACCATATACTGCCTAACAAATCTTGGCCATTCACCACCTTAAGGTGAATAGTGGACCAAGACTAAGTTATCAGTAAAATATTAGCCACACTTGCATATTTTCTCAACAATCCCCCACAAATGCAAGGGAATGACAAGGATGCTAAGACTCTGAGAAGTATAAAGGTTTGATACTTAAGTGCTAGTGAACGAATCTTGAACTGGCATGTAGTGACACATGGTATCCTCTGATCTAGTGAGTGAATGAATCTTGAACTCTTAGACTAGAGGTTTAAACCAAGTGACACGCATCACACCTTGGATCTTGTGTAAGTTTCGCAGAAAAACTACATATATATTTAGCCCAACTGGACTTCGGGTTGCTCATGAGTTTCCCTAGAAAGATAGCTCATATCTTTCATAAAAGGCGGCTAACCCTTTTCGCTCAAGTAGGTGATTTTCTTTAGTCTATCTCAATATAGACTATACCCCAATTAGGGTATGAAATCATTAAGAGCATTTTATGCTCACCCTATCATCAATTATTAAGCGGTGAATTCATTAAGTCCATCTCAATAGGACCACCCATCTCATATGGTTATAAATTCATTAAGAGCTGTTGCTTAACCTCACCAGTACACTCACACCATAGAATGACCAATTAGTGTACTACTTTGTGATTCTTTCCATGACTTCATTTAATCACAAAAGTGGGATCCACCATGAATTCATCACCTCTTGAGCTTTAAGCCATTTCATCAATAATTTAACGACTAATCTCATAATTAGTCTTCTCTATTAAAGTAAGTTGATCATCTCGATCAAACTTATATACACTTTAACGTGTACTTTATTTACACAAACAATTCTCGTGAAATTTTCATGTTCAACATGAAACATTCTCTTTTACCATTATTTTCGGTACCACAAAGAGACTTATAGGAAAGAAATATATAAAGATTTAATTACCCCCACAATATGACACATACAAATACTTTTTTCAAAAGTATTTGATCTCTTACCCAGATTGATTTTTGGTGTCTAACATTGGCTCCTTTATAGACTGAGTTTTGCATATTTAATTTGTTTTGTGAAACATTATAGTAGCTTCGCACTTTAATTAATACATACTCAATGGTTGAATATATTTCAACAATCTTGGTTACCTCAACCCACCATAATTACCATTTAAACAGGAATTATACGTCTTCGGAGATGACTCAACCAAGATTTTAAATAATATATATAAATGATCATTGCTAGTAAGCCACATAAATAATGTTCTCCCAAAGGTTGAGTCCACCCCAAGGGCCCCCCACACTCCGACCCGACAGAGCATTGTGGGAAGTTGTAAATCACGGTGACTCAATGGTTCAGCAGACAGGGCTAAATGCTGATATGCACAAGGAATCTACCCACTTTGGACATAATTCCCGCACTGCCGCCGCCGAGGTTCAAACCTTGGTCTCTTCTCCCAAATACTACCCACTAAACCATTGAGCTAAGCCCGTGCGGGTTAAATAGGTAATTCTAAGTTTACAAATGCAAGATAATATAGTCAAGATTGATTATAATTGTCAATAAAATAATTGTATAGGTATGGTTGAAACCAAATACGGGATATAAATGATTACTGCTAGTAAGCCACAGAAATAATGTTGTTTGCATGTTATTTCAAGTTAAACAACATAATCACAGATTTCACATAATTTTATTGAGATTAATTAGTTTCATTTTCAAAAAATATATTCAAACTAACGTTTATTAGAAATGATTTATCTGCATAAATTTCAACAAGGTGAATTCAACATATATGTAATAGCTTTATAACATTTAAAGTTGGTCCAACTTCACCATTTTTCCTTCCCTTTGAGAAAATTGATAACTCATATATAGCATTGATATAATGCAAACTAATCAAAATTCATATTTATTGTCAAAAGAACCCATAGTCCCCACTTATGGAAATTTAAATCAACGCTATTATTACACCACTTAAAGCAATATCTATTTACAAGGCTTAGATATTTTAACATCATGTGAAAGTCAATCTCATTTTAAGTGAGAATCAAGTGGCGCTCTACATGATCAACACCCTACTTCTTAAAAATCTCAAGTCTAATGGTGAAACCGAAGTTTACTTAAAAACCATCTTACAAAAATAATTTAAGCTTTATTGAGAATATGACTCTTCCATGCATGTATCAATAAATTTCAATAATTTAAACTAGCCTTTGATATGTGCTTGTAACCATTATAAAATTAAATTAAGTGCATGCTTCATATTTCTAAGGTAATGAAACAATACATCCATGCATCACATATCCCCAATTCATTGCATGTTAATTTAAATAACAGATTTTCCATTTGAAAACAAAAATCACTATAATGCTTTATTTTCATGCACCCTACATATATCACCATAATTTTATATATATATATATATATATATATATATATATATATATATATATATATATATATATTTTCAAGTGCGTAAAACCACATAAATTAAAGAGGTATATGTGATGTATAAAGCATTACCTTAAAATGTAATAGGAACTAAGGGGGCGTTTGGTTCAGGTTATATAACATAACCAAGGGAATGTGACATTCCAAAGTTCACATAATAGTGTTTGGTTCATATTATCTTAGGGAATGTAACATTCCCAAGGAATGTCACATTCCCTCCACATAGGATTTTGAAGGGAATGTGATTCCCTTCAAAATCTTAGGTAATGTAAGATAACTTTGGTTATGTTAGTTTATTATATATATATATATATATATATATATATATATATATATATATATATATATATATATATATATATATATATAAAATTATTTTTGTAATTATATATTTTTTAATTTTTATTATGTTATGTTAGCATATAAAATAATTTTATTTCTCAAGTTCAAAATTTTAGAGTTAATATTTTAAAATCATGTAATTATATATGATACCGTTATCTTATTTATTTATTTTAATTTTTAAATTTATTAAAATATATGAAAATATGTTAAAGATATTATAGTGTGTATAAAAGATAACCCTAAACCAAACATGATTATATTACATACCCCAATTTTAACCAAACACAGGAATCTAACATTCCCAGCAATCTAACATTCCCTAAGGTAATCTGACATTCCGTGAACCAAACGGCCCCTAAGTCGTGAAACATTCTGAAAAAATAGCAACCAACCTTACATGCATGTATCACGTCAATTCTTAGTTATACAAATCTCCTCGTATGTTTTGGCGTCGGGACCATGGGGACTCATGCAGCTATGGAGGCTTGCACCAACTGAAAAAAGTCATCAAGTTTTGTCTAATATCTTCCATATATAGATCAGGCACATAGATTCACAACTATGTTTATTGATCAAACAAATTGGTGTTAATAAGGGCAGAACTTGCTTAGATCATACTGCATGCAAACATAACACTTTTACTCCATAAGGATTAAGGAACTAGCTAGTATTGATAATTTTATCAAGGTGTAAGATCCATATACCTTGTAAGAGTAATAATATTTAAATTAAAAAACTTGCATAATACTTAGCTTAATTAAGGAGGATGAATTAGACCCATACTTAGCTTCAATCGTGCTGCCAGGATATGATACTGCATACTGCAAAGTACAGAAACCATGCATCATCAAGTTGAGCCTAAAATTTAAGTTTCAAATGGTCATAATCTCTCCCGGCAGCAAGCGCCATGGGTAGTGAGTAGTGAGCAGATTAGGTTAGCGTGCACCCGAACTAAGCTCGCTGACGAGATCAACACCCGGACCACCGGCAATACTCTTGGGAACTTGGGCTTCGTCAACATTACGGATCAGAAAGGTGGGAAAGTCAGGTTCGGATCTGCTCTTCCCGGCTTGCCATTGGCATCTCAGTACACCAAGTCTGTTAAGCAACGTGATCATCACCCACAACCTGACATCAATATTCACCGGTTATGGCTTCACTGTAGCGTTGGTCTTCAAGCTCTCATTTAATTACGACAGACATTGTATTGCAAATCGCTTTTAACTGTTGGAAACCAAAACAAAGTCGACCAAAATATACAGGCTTGAAAATAAATAGACAAAATAAACTTGAAAATGTCTGTGGCGTGTTTATAAAACACTTCCAAAAGCGATTTTCCGGTAACGGTGCAGTCAGAATTTCTGACACGCTTTCGACTGGCAATACAAACCTGCTACACTTAACTTACACCAGCTATTGCGTAGGTGAACCTGACTTTGCTCAGACCAAGACAAAAGAAATAAGAGAGAAAGGCTATGTAGAAATTGTGCTCCTTTTTCACTATGTTGGACGTTGCTTATATAGTGTATAAAATAAAAGCAAGCTCCATTTTCATCCATGAATTTGAGCAGGAGTAGGGATGTGATGCTGAGAGTGTTACACGTGCCCATGACCTCCCTCATATATTGTCAAGGTGAACAAACTGGTTTAGGCCCATGAAAGAAGGACTATTTTGAATGTATTTCCAACAAACTAGACTAATATTGTATGC